AAGACCGATATAAACAGTCTACATGAATTTGACTCATCTTTATTCAAATTAGGCGATAGATTAAATACTAGCAATGTAATCGTGGCGGGAGATTTCAACGCCCCGGACCTTAAATGGAACGACCTTAAACTGACAAATTGCTCCTTCAATTCTGAACAGTTACTTGAAATTATCGATGAACATGGACTTACCCAACTAGTAAAGGAATAATTTGGATATATCAACAAAGTTGAAATGGTAAATTGGCCACCGTAATGATTACAAAAGCTGACGTTTCGAGCGTTAGCCCTTCGTCGGAGCGAATGACGAAGGGCTAACGCTCGAAACGTCAGCGTTAGCCCTCCGACGAAGGGCTAACGCTCGAAACGTCAGCTTTTGTAATCATTACGGTGGCCAATTTACCATTTCAACTTTGTTGATATATCCAAATTATTCCTTTACTAGTTGGGTAAGTCCATGTTCATCGATAATTTCAAGTAACTGTTCAGAATTGAAGGAGCAATTTGTCAGTTAAAGGTCATTCCATTTAAGGTCCGGGGCGTTGAAATCTCCCGCCACGATTACATTGCTAGTATTTAATCTATCGCCTAATTTGAATAAAGATGAGTCAAATTCATGTAGATTTTTTATCATTTGACAAGATATGCGGGATGTGCATGTAATTAAAAACTTAAAGATGCACCAGAAAGAAATGATTTCTCCTAAGTATCTCAAAATTTAGTGGAATTTTAAGGATACTATGGTCAGAAAACAGTGTTCAAGCCGGAAATTTTGCTAGTCTGAGTGTTTTTTCCCCATTTTGGTGGGTTGGGGGGCAAGGGGAGGGCGACGGCGGCTAAAGAGGTACATGAAAGCGTGAGGCATTTAGGCGAGTGCAGAGGAATGGTCCACTATAACAATTTTAACTGCCGGCATATGCATTTAAAAGTAACTACTGAAACGAAATGTTCGATTATAATAATCCACTGTTGTTTACATTGTGTGGGCATGGGAATTAAACCTTTTCAGTCAGAAATCTAACAATCCAATCTAAATTTAAACGTTTTCACTATAATACTTCTTTGAAAAGAAAGTCAAAAGCTGCTTGTAGATAAGGTCTAAGAAGTTGAGAATTGCTAGCTCAAAAATCATTACATACACTTTTCGTTTAACGCAGTACTAATGCGGACTTGAGCAAGATTTCATGTGACCGTGGACGGACGATTCGTAAATTGATGTTGCCCTTATTGAGACACCAATCTGACAACCCTGTAGCATGACATTGTGAACCATTACGGCCAGCTGTGATTGACTAGTATTCAACAGCTGTGTTAACGCATCGTGAAGATATGTTTCCCCACGGTTCCCTGTCCTGAGTTGTTTCGCTTTGGATCTTCTGGGTTTTGTATTCCACAGCCTCCGTCTTTGTTGATGTGGATCACAATCAATAAACTCTTCTTCCCATCAGAGCGGACGGTGTCCGTTGTTATCGTCGTGCTATGGCACTATCTATGGCACTATCTATGGCACTATCTATGGCACTATCTATGGCACAAAAACGATGTGGGAGTTTAATTTTGGACGCCACCATCAACGATAGTTCCGTTGAACTTTTTAGTAAATTAGGCTGTTTGATGACATTGTACGCGTTAGAAAACTTTGTATGGTACATAAAGTTAGCCAAGGTCATTGTCCTGAATATTTTAGTTCATACTTTAAATATGTCAGATCTACACATGGTTATTGTACTAGATCTGCCATCTGCAATGACGTTCTAACACCATCTTGTAAAAGAAACTCAGGGCTTAGAACTTTTCCACTCAAGTGCATGTAGGCTATGAGATAAACCAGGTAATTGTTTTAGAAACATAACTTCCCACTCAAATTAAGATAACGTTACTGAAAAATTTTATTAAAGAAAATACCTCGATACAATACGATACAATACAATATTCTTTATTTAACGAAGGGGATGTAATTAACCCAACTGGAGTTATCTAACTTATGGCAATCACAACAATACAAAATACACATATAAAACAATGCCTAATCAGCAATATACGACTTACTACAAGAGAAACTAAAACTATACAAATATTTGGTTCAACATAGATATAAGGTGATAAACACTAATTACCTTCTAATACAGTTACTGTAAAGAGAAAAACGACACCCATAACACATTAATTCTTCAAGATGAGAAACATTACTAACAAACTTAAGGAATAATGTA